GGGGCGGGCAGGGGGAGAAGATGATCAGGGGTGAGGGGGGATGAGGGGCGGGTGGGGGAAATGAACTCGACCGAGGATTCACAGTATCTGAGGATTGAGTAAAATGCAATCTTTCAATCAAAATAAAGAAAAGTCAAATTCTCCTCTTAGAAAAATTATTTTTCTAAAAAAAATGATTTTTTACGACTTATGCAACCTAACATGATAAAGTAGAGTCAGAATTTTCTGGGAAAATATTTTTTCAACTAAACAGACTAAGAATGAGAAACTTAAATAACATAAACTTAAGACATTGAAGAAATTTTTTAAAAATGACAAAAATTTTATTCGATCTCATGCATGGTACGAGTTAAAATACTAATTTATATGGATTAGTGAGTCCAAATCATAACTTTAGAAAAATATTAATGTGAAGCCCAAATTACTCAATGGCTCCAACATTTTTTTGTGGCCCAACTAGATTTTTGACTTTCTAAACCTCATGGAAGAGAGAGGAAGTCGTCAATCGTCATCTCTGTCATCACTCATCATTCGACACCCTTGATTCGACACCTTTGATTGAAACCTTTCTCGACTTTCTTCAATTAATTTTCTATTAAATGGCCTGTTATGGTTAAGGGTAACCGAAATAAGATTAAAACATAATGATTTTTCCAATTTAGGATCATATGTTTTTATTTTCTTAATGTAAGACAATTGGTCATTATCTATTAGTCATTATTCAGTATCACCTGGGCATTATTGTTCTCACTAGTTACTATTAAGTCTTATTTATGAAATAAAAAATTTTAAGTCCTACATTGAGAAATGACTTATGTTTTAGTATTATTCAGTGCAAATTTCACGTGGTTAAAACGGTTGCTCCATTTTAAATTAAAAATAGAACTCTCATAAGGCATAAAAGTTGGCTTTCTGGAAATAATCTGTGCGTTAGTTTTTGAAGGGTTTATGCCAAATTGTATAATAAATTTGTAAGGGGTAGAGTCCCTCCCCATGAATTGAAGAAATCGGCATTGCTTTGAAGGGTTTTGTGGAGAAGAAAATAATATGAATATCCTCCCCGACCCAGATAATGCTGATAAAAGTTCTTTTTTCTGCCGATCCTTGTTCGCTGACTAATGGCATAAAACACAAGTGTAAATCCCATGTCATCCGATTTAATCTCTTTGTTGATATCCACCCATTTACATTGAAACACAGGAATTGTGAAATTTGTATATTCAAGTTTCCATATATACTCAATCACGACATATTATGTTTTGATATGTTTTGTATAATGGGACTGATGTGGAATCTTTACCCTTAGGAGTATGTCAGGAGAAGTATTCAAGGACATATCACTATTCTCTACTATACTCTTGTCATCTTGACATTTTGTATAGAAATAATAGTTGTTCATGTAATACCCCTCGTCAGAGAATACATTTCAGACGGTCCCGGGGCTAACGATCTCACATTTTATGTGACAAGATCAGGAAATTGTAATGTTTTTCAGTGAACATACTCTTGAAACCATTTCAGGAAGATGTGGTTGTGCTTGCTGCTCACCTGCCTATCACGTTTAAGAGGGATATCTTGTCTTAATAGGGACATGTGTTAGATCGAACATTTCAGAGTTGATCAAGATAAATGATATGATGTTCAATTGTTTCTCTACGAGCGTTAATAGATTGAGAATGTATGAATAAATAAAATTAGGGGTGAACACACTTTGGTAAACTGACCGAACCATGTCGAAACCGAACATTTTGGTACGTACCGAAACCGAACCAAATAATTTGGTTTGGTATTCGGTTTTAGGTTTTTATAGAATTCGGTTTTCGGTTCGGTTGAAATATTGGGGTCAGTATTTTGGTAAAAACCGATTGCCGAAATAATTTAAAAATATTGTTTAGTTTTACCCAACCCAATACCAATATCCGGCCCAATATTGAAATATTGAATATCCAGCACACTTCTACATTAAGTCTCACTATCTAGTTTTCCCATCTTCGATCAATTAGATGGAATCAGCCGGCAGTGGGGAAGTCTCTTCCTAGAACTGAGTTTGTGTTGCCTTCTTCATCATGCCCCCCTCAAAATGTCAGAAGGTACGTTCCCTTCTGGTTTGTTGCATCCGGTTTCTGCAATTTTGCTTTTATTTGTAATTTTTTCACTTTTTTGTCTATGTGTAATGTGTTCACAATTCATATACCTAAATTACGGGATTCACAGTTCATTTCCCCACTTGTTCACATGTCTATTTGTTCACAATTCATTTCCCCATTTGAAGTTTTGAACACAAAAAAAATTAATTTCGGTTTTTGGTAAAAACCAGTTACAAGCCGATTTATTTCGGTTTGGACCAAATCGATTAATTTAATGTCGGTTCGGTATTCGGTACAGAAAATTAATAACTGAATTTTCGGTTTACCGAATAGCTAGTATTTATTCACTAGCTAAATAATATCATCTTTTCACATTTTCACAAAAAATAATCTCACTTGCTAGTGCCACAAGAAATAATTTCACCTTTCTACATGTGTGTGAGTTTTGGGTCACCATTAAGAAGCTAATAGTCACTTAACAGAAGTTTTGGAAAATGTATATTTTTTGCAAATAAGTGAAAGGTGAGATTATTTTAGGTGAACTATCTTTTTTTTCTTTTTTTAATTTTAAATTTAAAATTTATGTTTTCAAAAATATAACAGTACATTCTTGTTAGAGATTTGTATCAATTTTTTTGTATAAAATATAACATTTACAAACTTTGTATTCTGTGTTAGGAGAACTATAATAGTGGATTATCAAAAAAATAATTTAGAGTATCGCTCGAGAAAGAAATTACAATACAGAAAAGTTGTAATGAGTTATAAATATTGTTAGTGCCATTTTGGAGAAAAATAATTTTTGTACAATTTTCACAACTTTTGTATCGTTATTTTGCAAAAAAAAATTAGTACTAAATTATCGAAAAATTCGTTATTTTGAAAATTAAGAGAAAAGATGAGAAAAGATGTGATTATTTCAAAGATGAGAAGAGTAAAATTGTTTTTGGAAGAACACAAATGGTTCGGATTATTTGAAATAACTCTTCCTTGATTTATCAATTATGTATATTAATTAATTTTACACTCTCTTGATCTCAAATTAATTTGTCTAATTGATTTCACAGACATATAGAAAAGTATTTGGAAAAAGTTAAACACGGGAAATTAAAGTTGTGCTTAGAATTTTTTTAGAAGAAAAGAAATATTTGGGACCATATATTAAGCATTAAAGGGAGAAAAAAGAAGAGAAATAAGGATGGGTGAAAAGGGAAAGTGAGAGTGAGAGGACACCAGTAGTACATGTTTAATTTAAAAAATAACAATCATGGAATCAACTCTTATCATATGTTTGCTTCAAGGAATTTAGAATAAAAAAATTATTTTCTCTCTTTTCCATACTAAAATAGGAATAATTTAGTTTTTCTTCCTAGTAGTACATATAGTTTTCTCATTTTCTTTTTATTCTACTTTTCTTTTCCTTTCTGACCAAACAAATGAAAAGAGATCTTTTCCTCTGACTTGAGTGGTAGGACCGGAAGCCCGCTTTTCAGGATTCATGGGATAGTTCTCCCAGGTCTGAGCTCCAGCAGAGGCAAAGGCGTTTGTTGTGCGTCATTAGGTTTAGAAATGTATAAACAGACACTACATTGTAATAGAGTCAATAACATTCAAAAAAATAAATAAAAAAGACTTTCTTCCTATTTTCTTTTCCTTTCCCTACCAAAATCCATGATCAAACACAATGTTAGTTATTCTTTAATCTCAGCTCCTTGTACTCACAACACCGTGTGGGTCCATCATGGCAGCCGCTAGAGCAGCAACCCGTTTCAGGTCCGCCTTAGCAGAGGATGTGGGGTAAGGGTAGTGTTCGGCGAAAGCAGGAAAGTTCAGTTCCTCAAGACAGCCTCGCAAGGCATAAGCCACCGCGTCATACGCGGCAGCCGCCATATGAGGGGTAGAGTATGTCCCCAGCGAAATGAGTGCACCCCGATACTTAATTTGGGCAACCCATGTCCCATTTCGATGACGACTTATGCCGTGGTATTGGTGAGGATGATTTTCTCTCCTTCTAGAGCTGTTGTTAGAAACAGCGGCCCTAATGGATGCATGCGCAATTCTGGGAGCTGTTGCATGCATCTCGTATGATATCCTAGATGTTGCTTCATCATCAGCATAACAATTAGCCATATATCAATAAGAGTAGGGGAAATAAAGATTTGGTGTATGAATGAATATAATGTGGTATATATGATAATACATCATGCATGCATATACGTGATTGAATATATATACACAGTGAAAAGTGAAATCCTCACTCTCCCCATAGATCCTCTTAACCTATGTGAATAAAGGGAAATGTCATTTGTACTATTAATGACACCTAAATTACATGACATCTTAAATTTGAGCTACACAAATAATTTGTCAATAACAGATTATGTTTTTTTTGCATAGTTTAGTGTTTCGAATGTGGTGGGCATTATTCCAATGATATACGTTGTTATAGGTCTCATTTGGCATCAGCTTTAGAGATTAGTGCTAGCATTTTGAAAAGACTATCTGACGGTAGTCTTTAGCGCGCGTTTGCATTTTCTGAATTAATCTATACCGTATATATATATATATATATATATATATATATATATATATATATATATATATATATATATATATATATATATATATATATATATATATATATAGCCATACAGGGCTGTCTCCAACTAATTAGCGGCCCTGTTCGACATGGAGAAAATACGACATTGTATGATAAAAAAGTAAAATATACTCCGTATCAATTAATTTTTTTAATAATATAATATTTAACATTGTAGTAATAATAAAATGTCAAACTTATAGTCTGATAAATTTATAATTATATACTCTGTACTTTAGTACCTAATCGAGGATTCATGAAGTTCTTCTATCATTCTTAAGAGAAAATCGGTTGATCACCTCTTCATAGTTTATTAGATTTAGTAATTCATAATTGTATTTTTAAAAATAAATCAAGAACCTTTGATATAAATAAATATATACATGTGTATGTACAAAAAAAAATTGGGCCCCATTCAAAAATGGGCCCTAGCCAAGTGACCACCCTGCCCACTCTTAGAACCGTCCCCGTATATATACGGAGGTCAATATAATTTTGTTTTTAAGACTATTAAGACTTTGTTTGGAATTAACATTTTTTATTAGCATTAGTACTTTAGATAAAATTTTAATATGTTACTCCCTCCGTTCCAAAAAGATTCACACGTTTCAAAAAAACTGCGTCCCACAATCTCTTATCCTTTTCTACTAAAAACTCATTTTTACCCCTCACTTTTTCAAACCCTACCTATCACATCACACCTTTTTTCTAATAATCTACACATCACATCCTACTTTTACCCATCATATCAAAGGTATTTTTGGAAAGTCAACACAAAATTATCCCTCCCTTAATTTCAACTTTAGTCAAAATGGGTAACACTTTATGGGACGGAGGGAGTATTTAATTTTAAAAATGTTTATGCTAAAGGATATCGTCAGATAGCTTTTTCAAGACGCTAAAACTAAACTCTAATGCTAATACCAAACAAGGTCTAATAACGACTGAAACGAAAAATTTCAATTCCTGGGCTTCTAGCCACAAGTTCTTTGGCAATATTTTTGTATTTAGTTCTCTTTGATGAAGTTTTACTTTTGGATTAATTTTGTCCTAAAATTAAAATTTACCAAATATATGAAAGACTACATAGAAAATATGTGACATTTTTTAGCATAATATAATTGGCATAGTTTATTTTAAATAAAAATATTATAATGGAAAATATCATTATTAATTTTTTAATTATTATTATAATTATAATTATAATTCATTACTATTGTAAGGGAATAATAAGACATGTCATTGAAAGTATGAAACTAATGCATGGTACCATTTTTATTTTAAAAAAATAAAACAAAATTATAATAGATGCATATAAATAATTTTGATAAACAAAATAAACCAAAAAATGAAACAAATATAGAAAAGTTTCTCAAGGAACCAATTCAACCAAAAGTTCAAGTTTGTGATCATGGTCTAGGAATAGTTTTTATATACTCTAACACGCCCTCGCGTGCATGCACGTCTTGTTTGAGTTTTGTATGTGAAACTTTAATTTTTTTTTTAAAAAAAGATGGTGATTTAGGGTGCTTCTATGGTGCCCCTTGAAAGCATACTTCTTTTTGTGTATCTTCTCACATATTTTTTTATTTTATTAAAAAAATAATTACTCCTCTAAGTAGTAAGAAATTATTTATTTTTCTCATATGTAAGCTCATGGTAAACCTTAACTCCACCATAGAATTCGCTAGAAATTTAGGACTATTTTATTGCTTGCTATTAAGAATAATACGGAGTATAAATAAGAGGAAATTACTTAAATAGCATTAAAACATAATGACTTTCCCTAAATAGCATCACATGTGTTTTTTTCCAATGTAGCACTTTTAGTCATTATGCATTAGTCATTATTCAAGTAAATATTTGTCATTAATAGACATTATGGACATTATTAAGTGCTATTTAGGGAGTAAAATAGTTTAAGTGCTATTTAGGAAAATGAATTAAGTTTTAGTACTATTTAGTGCAAATATTTCTATAAATAATACTTTGTATGCAGAAAATAAATGAACTAATAGAATAAGGAAGATATAACTTATAATATTTTATTTCATAGTATTGCTATTCAAGGAAATGACTTAAGTTTTAGTGCTATTTAGTGCAAATATTTCTTTATATTATTCTTAATATTCTCCCGTAAACTGATCATTAGTATTGAGTAGTGGCTTGTAATACATGTACTGGAATTGAGTTGGCGGAAGCAGTTTTGTGAGGATAGTCTATATGAGTAGAGAGACAAATCTTTGTTACATGACGAACAAGCTTGAGGTTGCATTTGCTGAGTTTTTTCCAATTAGAGTGTTGGTGATTAAAGCGAGTGTGAGGACTTTCTTTTTTTTCTTCTCTTTTTGGGTCATTCTCTGCTTCTTTATTGATTTCTGTGCACTCAATCTCTTAAAAAGGCACAGACAAATGTAACTTACTCGTTCTTTGATTATGCACATGATGTTTTTGGAAGAGAGAGATATAATGAATTTTTTGGAGAGAAATATAGAGTTAATCGACGACAGGTGTTAGGCATGCTCATCGGAATTGGTCGGTGATGCCATGTTGTCAGACGTACGGTTGACTGCCGTGAACAGGTGTTAGGCATGCTCATCAGAATCTCTCGCTGATGTCATGTTGTCAGACAGTCAACCGCCGTGAGCAGAGACCCGCAATGTGCTCAGTCGGAAAAAGAAGAGTTAAGTTTTTTAGAACTTTATCTCTGATACCATGATATAATTTGATAATAATTGATTTTAGTCAATAATAAAAGATACTCCCTATATATAAGGATTACAAAATAGAATTTTAATCATAGTAGCAGAATAACTATGACAACAATACAATAAAAAATTGATTGAATAACGAAGAGGTAAATCCTAATAAATTACGTTTTCAATTCCGACGGTTCAAGAAAAGCGATGAAGTAAAAAACCGTAAAGAAATCCTCGAATGAGCTTATATTTTGTTCATCTAATAAAAGACTAAATTATACGGAGTAATAAATAAAGAAAATATTACTGCATCTCAAAATCCTTTTGCCATACCGGAGCATGCCTTGCCCGGGTGCTCCGCCGCTCTCGTGTCTCCGTACTAGTTCCGTCACGGCGACGCTCATGTGGGGAATGATCTGTAACAGCTATATATACAAGATAATTGGTTTTCATGAATACGAGATGAAGATATAGAACATGATAGAATTGAATAACTTCATGATATGATTGTTAGTGATTTATTAATTATATACTCTACTCTCTTGGTCTCAAATTAATTTGTTCATTTTGATTTAATGGACATACAAACAAGTATTTGAGAAATTTGACATACCCTACCCTACCTATCACATTATAACTTTTTACTACTCCATCAAATATATCCATCAAATCTTACTTTTACACATTACGTCAAAAGACATTTTTGAAAATTCAATATACCAAAATACACTCTCCTTAAATCTCTTCAAAAAAACAAAACATCCCATATTTTACGGGACGGGAGGAGTATATCATAACCTAATATAACTAATAAAATAACTCAAAATAGAAATAAAATATAAACATAGTAAGTACTAGGAGGTTAATGTTTTTAGCCCCAAAATAGAATTTTACACTATGACAATGTGACACTATATAGTAGAATTATACATTGTGTTTTGGTATTATATATTGACATTATTAAGAATGTAATTCCTATTTTAGTAAATAAAAGCATTAAGCTCATATTCTAGTACTTTGTCTATATTTGACTCTTAATTTAATATTTTTCTCTTATTACTACAGATTTCAAATATTTTAAATTTATCACAAAAAAATTTCTACGCCATATATTTAAAAAATTGACTAGGGGCCATTGCCTTAAACTTGGATCCGCCAGTGAGTAGTAGTATGCACTTAATTTAAAATTACTCTTACACTATGTTTGGTTCAATGCATTTAGAAAGAAAGAAAAGAAAATGATTTTCTCTCATTTTCCTTACTAAAACGGGAAAATTTTGATTTCTTTCCTCTTAATGCATTTTGCCTTCTCATTTTCTTTTTCTTTCACTTTTCTTTTCTTTCCTTTCTAAACAAGCAAATGAAAAGCTTTTTCCTCATATTTTTTCCCCTTTTCCTACGAAAATCCACAAACGAAATTATTCTTTAAGTTTGCCTCGTTGTGGCAGTAGCACCTTGTGGGTCCATCATGGCAGCCGCTAGAGTGGCAACTCGTTTCAGGTCCGCCTTGGTAGAGGATGTGGGGTTAGGGTAATGTTCGACATAAGCAGGAAAGTTGAGTTCCTCACGACGGCCTCGCAAGGCGTAAGCCACCGCGTCATACGCAGCGGCTGCCATATGAGGGGTAGAGTATGTACCCAATGAAATGTGTGCATCTCGATATTTAATTTGGGCAACCCATCTCCCGTTTCGATAACGACTTATGCCGTGATATTTGTGAGGACGACCTTCTCTCTTTCTAAGGCTGGTATTAGAAACAATAGTTGATTGATCATCACCATAACACTTACCCATCAATAAGAGTAGGGGAAATAAAGATTTGGTGTATGAATATAATTTGGTATATATGATGATGCATCATACATGTATATATGTGATTAAATGTATATATATATAT